AGCAACTGGAGGATTTTAATCATCTGCCTGTGGGTTGGCTGCACAACTCCTTCCCACCCACGAGGCCCCCAGTGCTCCCTGTAAGACCATTGATAATATACACGCACAGTTAGCACCAACTCAGACTCCCTTTAGGAAGCTTCCATGTTGGCTTCCTGGCCCTTTTTTTTTTTTCTTCTTTCCTTGACTGTCCTCATATCCACCAGCACTTTGTTCTCCTAAATTGTAGAGCAAGCAGATGCTTTAAATTGGAGCGTTCTGTGATATATCCATGCCATCGAATATCACTTAGGAAGAAGAATGAGTGAAATATCAATACACACACACACACACACACACACACACACACAGAGATTAGAATTACTGGCTCTGGATTCTTCATCCTTTTGTTGTTGTGGTTGTGGTTGTTGTGTACCCTCAAGTTGGGACCAATCTATAGTTGTTCCTCCGACAGATTTTCAGAGGCAGTTAATTGCACAGGAGGAGATTGTCTATCCCTCTCCCATGAAGTAGCTGATAGCCTCGAACTGTGTGCCGTCAAGATTGCAGCACAGCTTCTTCTCACTAGGCCACCAGAGCTCCCTATTCATATGTTGTTGTTGTTGTTGTTATATGCCATGGAGTCTCTTGCAACTCATAGTAATCCTATGTACAACAGCTCTGCACCCTGCTCTATCCTGAGCCAACTTTATTGTCTCTGACGCACCTACCTTCATTGCCCCAGTCACTGAATCAATGTATCTTATGAGGGTCTTCCTCTCCTGTGTTGTCCCTCCACCCTCCCAAGCATGATATCCTTCTCCAAGGACTGGTCCCTCATTGCAACATGCCCAAAGTATGTCAGACGAAGCTTCAGAATCCTTGCCTCCAAGGAGAAGCCTGGCCTCGGCCTCTCCAGGACAAACCTGTTTGTTCCCCTAGTAGTCCACTATATTCAATACTCCTCTCCAGCACCCACTTATAGGCATCAATTCTTCTTGTATTATTCTTAGTCATGCAATTTTACACCAATACTATAATTTACATATAGTAAGTGTATACAAAGGAGCCCTGTTGACTCAATGGTTAAAGCGCTCCACTGCTAACCAATAGGTCAGCTGTCTGAACCCACCAGTGGCTCTGAGGGAGAAAGATGAGCTCGCCTGCTTCTGTAAAGAATCATAATGATGGAAATTCCAGGTCTGATAGGGTCGTTGTGAGTTGGAATCAACCAGATGGTGGTGGCTTTGTGGTTGGGTGCATACAGCGTCAGAGGATTGTAATATATACGTGTGGTTTCTGGTTCATAAAAAAGTATGTTTCATATTAGAATGATTAGGATGCATGGGGGCCAGACCTCGGTTCCTGTCTGTGTGCTCTGAGGCTACGTGGAAACGGTGGAGACAGACAGTAATCAGTCTCATCACATTTCCTCTGCTGCAGTGTTGGCCTTTTTAAAGTCTTCGCTGAACACCCTCAAGTGCCTTGTTCTTGGATTCCCCTCCTACCCACCCAACAAGCCAGAGTGTTCGATCCGCACACGAACCCGGCGCTGGGAAGGGTGTCGCCAGAGCTGTGTGACCAGGTGTCTGTGTTCTCCGCACCCTCCGTCTCAGCACCTCATCCAAACAGAGAGAGGAAGCGGGGCACAACCTCAGCCCGGACCCCTCGTCTTCTGTGGGTTTCAGTCAGGCCCCCACTGTTATTTCAGTGCTGCAGCTTCAGTATTTAATTTGCGGATGTGTATGGATCAAAAGCAGAGAATGAAACTTTTTGGGAACTTTTTTTTTGTTTTAAACTTTGGCCAAAAGATTAAATTTGCAGTTCTAAAAAAAAAAAATTAAAAAAAAACCCCAAAAACCAAACACCAGCACTCAACACGGCCTGCTCCTGAGCTATATCCAACAGGAAAGTGCAAATCCCTCCCCGGCCTGAGAGCATCGTCCTGTCACCACTGGCCGCCCACTCCCGCGGGCACCACCTGGGCAGCCTGTGGTTTCGGCTGACCCTGGGGCCCCATGCCCGCAGGCGCTCCTTCCCTCTTTGAAAGTGCACGTTGTACCTTTGCTGGAAGAACGTCCTACAGGTTTGTCTCCTTTCTCACAGCCTTGTAAGAGCCTCACTGCCGAACCATGGCCGAAGGGGAAATCACCACCTTCACAGCCCTGACCGAGAAATTCAACCTGCCTCCCGGGAACTACAAGAAGCCCAAGCTCCTCTACTGCAGCAACGGGGGCCACTTCCTGAGGATCCTTCCCGATGGCACGGTGGACGGCACCAGGGACAGGAGTGACCAGCACAGTAAGCACCCCTTCTGGGGGATTCCCTGCCTTTCAAGGGTCTTCCCAAGTCAAGGACAGGAAGGTATCTAAATGCCAGTGCCCTATTGTTCTCCAAGGTGCTATGCAGGCCAGGTGTGCTCAGATGCAGGGGTGGTGGGAAGAGATAAAGGCAGGTGGAGAAAACAGTGAGTGGTTGGTCTCACTCCTATCTGAAGGTGATCTAAGTTGTATGTTTAAAGGGATTGTCTGCTGACCAACAAAGCTGCTTAACAGTTAGATTTGGTGACCAGTGTTCCAGCACTGGTGAACTCTGGAGTGTAACCAGTAGGGATTTGTTAACGCAAGGGGTGCGCAGGGCTGGAGGTTCGAATGTGCCAGCAGCTCTTCAGGAGAAAGATAGGCTCTACCCTCCCCTTGGGATTTACAGCCTCAGAAACCCAAAGGAGAGTCAGCATGAGTTGACACCAACTGGATGGCAAGAAGTGGAGGGGAGAGTTCAAGAGTTCTACATTTGCCTAGGTTGCCGGGGTGAGCCTTACCGGGCCCATGATGGGAAGAGCCAGAGGGGATGGTTAACCCTGCATAAAGTCAAGGGCTCGATTTCAAGTTAACGGATTCTCCAGGCTGTGTTTCCACTGGGCTGGATTTGTGAAATCCTACTTGAGAATCACTGTCTTACACATTATAAATTGTGCAGCCTTCCTTCTGCATATTGTGCAGATGCGGTTGTGGTCACCAGGAGGGTTAAAGTGTTTCTCCAGACCTTCCAGAAATTGGAGAGCAGGAGTGCTTTGAGCCAAATGCTCAGTCCTCCTCCTAGGCTGTCCTGCACGCCCAGTCCTCAAAAGATGTTGAGAGATGAAAATATGGTTTCAGAGCCAAGAACCTTCTCGTCTATCTAAATATGAAAAATGCTTGCCTTTCTGCTTTAGTACTCCCAGCTTTGGGGTGAATGTTTGATTGTGAGCATCTGAGTCTTCCAGTGGTGTTACTGGAGATCCCCCGAGCACTGTGAAAACATTAGGGGTTATAGACCAGACAAAAGTCAATCTCTCCCTCCTTGTGGGGGGAGGGATTGAAAGAACCACACATCTTGCAAATCAAGAGGAGGGAAGTATAGGTAACATCAGGAGACATGGAACAGCACAGGCAAGCTTAAGGGCCTGCGAGACTGACTTTAAAGTGCAGTGTAAGACTCTAGGTCACACGTGGTGAGTTATTCTCTGGGTGATTGCCATTATTCGTGGAGAATGCCCCGGAGGGCTCTTGCTGGTGTTCACCTTTTCCCCTTGGGTGCACAGGATGTGGGAGTGGATGCTGGCATTCGTAGCCTCGATAGCATTGCCCTCTGCTGAAGGTTGAGTTCATAGCTTTGAGATTAAATTCTTTGGCTTTGTTTTGATGGCTTGTCTTTAAATAGATCTGCCAAATGCTTTATGAGAGAGAGAGAGAGAGAGAGAAGCAAAATAAAAACAACAACAAACAACAAAAACCACCCCAAACCAACCCTCCTCTCTTTAGTGTGTTGGACCTAAACACTATTAGGAAGTTCTGTTGGCATGACCCACAGGCAGGAGTGCTGCTCACCCAAGGGCCACACTGCACTGGTGGTTCGAATCCAGCAGCAGCTCCAAGACAAAAGGATGAGTAATCTCCTCCTGTGTAAGTAAACGAATCCGAAACCCAGAGAGGGTCAGCTATGAGTCAATGCTGACTCACGGGCAGTGAGTGAATGAGTGAGCGAGCAAGTGAGCCAGTGAGCCAGTGAGTGAAGCCATATTGGCTCTAAACAACTGGCCTCAGATTATTAACTACTGAACGTACAGCATCTGTGCCATCTCCCCACGGCCCCAGGCAAACATGTTTTTGTTCTTTGGGTTAGAAATACTTCTCATAAGTTTAACTTAACAATTTTCTAATGCAATAAGAGGGGTCCTAAGAATCCCAAGGGAATAGTAGCCCCAGTGATGTGTTCCTCAGGGCTAATCGGGCTCTTCTGAGAAACCTTGACTTCTGGGGTGAAGGAGACTACCATTACTAGAACTTCTGTGCAGATGGCATGACTTCTGGGCTGCCACTGAGCTGACTTCTGAATTCTGCTGCTGACTTGGCCACCTGACCTCAGATGTCAGCAAGCCTTGGAGTGCAGCACGGGCAGCCGTAGGGATGTGTGTGAACGTCTTCAGCCAAGCAGAGCTGCAGCAGTTATTTGCCAAATACACTCGGGGGCGGGGAGTTACTTAACCTCTCAGGACTAACTTTCCTCATTTGTAAAGTAACAATCCTACGACCTGCTTCCTTTGTGCATTCTTGGATGGACCACATGAGATAGTGAATAAGGGGGAGCCTGGCCCACAGTAGAATTAGCACATGCTTGTTGATATTGCTAATGTTTTATCACTATCACCATCATCATCATCATCAGGATTGTCATATATTCAACCCAGTATGTGGAAATACCTCCCCGAGTCTCTCTACTTCTCTATTACCACCTCCCAAGAAGGTCAAGGGTCTAGCTTCAGGTTCTGACTTAGGGTCTCTTTGCCAACATTTCAGAATCATATTTGCTTATTCTGATCCTAAGAACAAAAGCCAATGAGGACAGAAATCAAAGGGGCCAGTGGGCTGAAGTCCATCTTCCATCAGCATCAGAAGAACTAGGTCATCTATCTGCCCCTTGTAGGCTGAGGCCATAGATTTCAAGGTAGAAACTTGTGTTCCCTTCCCGTTCCTACTGTCGCATCTACCAATTTCTAGTCAGAATTGTTGTTGTTAGGTGCTGATAAGCTGAGGACGACTCAGCGACTGTCTGAATGACAGATTTGAGCCTTGTTCTCTCTTGTCGCGCTGGACAATTAATATTCTCTCCTTCTTGCAAAAGGAGCTTCAAGTTGGCTGATCTGATGATGTCCCATCCAATGTTGCCAACACTGAGGTCCTCTCCTGTGTAGATGATTAGATAGCTACAGTGTTCCTAGCTGGACAATCTAGAGGAAATCTTTTCATCTCACTGAGACCCAGCTTTCTCAGCTGTGAAATAGACAAAACAACACTACCCTGTGTCTTTGGAGGCTGCAAATGCTGTGTGATAGAAACAGATGCCTCCTGGGCACAGAAACACCCACTGAGTGGGGTCTGTCGCCCTCTTCTGTCCATTGGTGGTACTACCACAAGAACTTCTAATTTTCAAATGTTACCCACCTTTGATAGTGAGGGATGGATACTTGCCCCCATCAAAGTAGATTTCAACTTAGAGCATTTATCCAGTGAATTTTCGGGACCATAAATCCTAATGAGGAGGCTACCTATCTTTATTTCTTGGAGTGTCTGATGGATTAGAATTTCTCATCTTGGCAGCCTGATATGTTACACACTATGCTATCAGTATAGTATGGCAAGGGGAAAGACTTTCTTTATCATTCGTATGAACATTAGCTTGAATGTTATCAGAACAGAGGTCAAAAGTAGAGAGCCACTACTTGCGTACTAAGTAAAAGACCCCTTGAGAAAGGGCAATTCGAAAAGCCAATCAAATATTTTCTAAAATCTACATAAATCATGCAAGATAGAACCCTAAGTTTTCTCACTCTTTCAGGCATAAATAACTCCCCTCATAGCTTCTCTTGGTCCCCCAAAAGTTTATCTGCTCTGGGAAAACTTAAGAAGTTTCCAAAATGTGTCTCTTCCCACTCCTAAGAAGGTAAGTTTCCAAGTTTCTAACACAAGGTCCCTCTTACAGTGGCATAAACACACGAGGATGCTGTGTGGGCCTATTGTAACGTAGGTCTGGTAAAATGTTTCCACGGGCAGGGAAGGTGGTTTTTGGTTTGGCCTTTTACAACCCATGTAGACAAAATTAGACAGTGAAGAGCTGCAGAATTGAGGGTGATGGGGTACAGGGTTGTTGAGAAGATTCATGCTGGATTCTGGGGATGTGGGAGATGGGTAAATTGTGGGTGCCACCATGAGAGGTGACCCTGGAAAGGGCAAGACCAGCAGTTCCATTTCACACACAGAACACTTGTGGGTGACTTGGGGCACCGTGCTCTCCTGTACATTTATTTGACTGAACGTCAGCTTTTCTCTCCTTGTGGGTTCCTTGAGAACAGGAACTGTGTCTCTCTCTGTTCAATACTGTCATTTTCATGCTTGAATACTGTCAATTGCTTAGTAAATATCAGGTGAATAAGTGCTGCATTGTAATGGGAATAGGTCAATTCAAATTCATCAATATATACAATAATCATCAACTTAGCACCTGATATGTACCAGGTAAACTCATTTCCAACTGGCTATAACCCCATCAGACTAAGATGTCAAGAAAACAAAGATTCTCATCCCTGGACCCAGAGGCAACATCATGGAGATGGAGAAGAGACTGAAACTGTGAACAATTTCATCTTACTTGGATCCACAATTAACATCCTTAGTACCAGCAGACAGGAAATAAGGAGACGCGTTTCCCTGGGAATATTAGATGTCGGTTTGAAGATTAAGGTGTGTCTGATTCAGGCGATAGTCTTTCCAGTCACTTGCTATGAATCTGAGGGCTGGACAATGAATAAGGATGACAGAAGAAGAATTGATGCCTTTGAGCTGCGGTGTTGCACAGAACATCCCATGGATGGCCAAAAGAAAAGACACATGTATCTCGGAGGGGGTGCTGCCAGGGTGCTCTTTGGAAGGAAGAATGAGGAAGCTTTGCCTCACCTATTTTAGTCATATTGCTGGTAGAGGCTGTTCCTTGGAGAGGGACATGATGTTAGGAACAGTGGAGGGTCAGTGAAGAAGTAGAAGATCTTCAACTAGGTAGATTGACATGGTGACTATCACAATGGGCTCTTGTGTGTCAGGAAGTGTGAAGACGGCACAGGATAGAGCAGGGTTCAGATCTTTTAGATAGAGTCGCTATGAGTTATACTTGACTTGATGTCACCTGACAACAGCCACAACAATAACCCCAAGGAATTATTAAAGAGATTCTCTCTAAGAATGCAGAAGCTAACAGGGCCTGTGGCC